GACCTGTCCTGGGCTCTCCTCTGCACACTTTAAAGACCTCTCTTTTCATCAAAGCGGATCTCTTTGGGCTCTACATCCTGGAAGCTTTGCTAGCTAAATAGCTTACAACTCTACTGCAAATTTTACTGCCAATGTGGTAAAAGGTGAATGTGGTAAAGGGTGATGATCATGGCTAAATGTCCCCAACCTCTTTCATTCGCCAGCGTAAATCTAGCACTATAAAGAGAAAGAGGGCACCTAATAAAGAAGTGTGATGATGATGGCAAGATTGTTAAAATTTAAATGAAAAATGGATATTATCGTGGCACCAGGATCTGACTATTCTCTCCCAAAGGAAACCACTGCTGAGATCAGCAGTTGATTCAAATTGCTTTTTCTTCCCTCCCTTTTGATAAATAGGAAAATTGACATATTGCATCATTATGAAGAGAAAAATCTGATTTGTTCATGTTGAATGAGTGTTCTACTTCCTTGTAGATCTAATAATGATAAAGTTGTGCAGGATAATGGGCCAAAATAGACAGGCAGCAAGCAAGTGAATAGGACAAGCACAGAATCGAGAGCTGGAACACGGAGGTTCAAATCCTGCCCTCCCCTCACCCCAGGTTTAAAATACAAGGTGAGTTACTTCACCTCCTGAAACCTCAGTTTCCTCTTGTGGAATATTGGGGAGGGGATTTCTTAATCTTAGGGTTCTCAGGGGGTTTCAGTGAGGATTAAACGAGATCCTGAATACAGACTACAACATGATATCTGTCACAGGGTTAGTTGTTAAGAAATGTTAGCTGTTGTTGTTATTGCCCTTTTGACCCTCGTCATCTATTCAACTCTTTTCAAATAACTGGCTTAAAAACTTGTCCCTTATTTTTCATTTCAGATGACAGAAATAAGAGTACTCGGCTAGTAATTGCATGTGTAATAAATATCCACACTTCTTTCATCTTTAGAGACAATCTGTGAATCACATTTAAGCTGGCTTCTTGAAACAGTTTCCAGTACATTCTACTTACAGCCAGATGAAGTGGCAATTTTCTTAAAATATGGAGCAGTTTGGTGCTGGGCAGAACATGTATTTAGGCTCACAAACATAAACAGTTTTTTATGTAGCATTTAAATATAAACTATGCAACTTTGAAATGCTACAAACATATAAACAAAATAACTTCAGGAATAAAGACATAATTAAAGAAAAGTTGAGAGCGAGTAGAAAAGAAGCCAAGTTTTCTACAATGCAAAATTTGTTTTTGTATATTTTTTAGAGGAAGATAGTAGCACAGTACAGAAACTATTTAACACTCTATGACCGAAGAGGAATTTTCACTCAAAAGGCTGGCTAATCGGCTCGTTATTCTGCTTCTGTAGATAGGCTTGCTTCATAGGCCTACTCAAAATTAACTAAAAACTCATCTTTCCTTTTGCTTGTTGCCTCTAAGCAACAAATGTAACCGCCTGTACCTCCTAGCAACTCTCGCACTTTGTAACTCTTTGTAACTGCCTGCAACCCATAGCAACTCCCTGCGCTTTGTAACCATCTGAGGACAAATTAACCAATCAGCCCAAGCCAAATAAGTTCTATATAAGGAATGTTGCAACTGAGCTCTGGGCCCAGATCTTCAGAGCCCTGGCTCCTCTGGGACCACCGGTGTAAAACACTTGAGTTCTCCAACTCACTGAGTGCTGTTTGGTTTCTTGCCAGTCCGATTTTTGCGACTTTTCTGCAATATGGCAAGCAACTTTGGTAATTACTTATTCTGACCTTTTTCTAGTAGCCCCAGTCCGAGGTCAGCACTGAGCCATTCTTCAGCGATGACGACGGTGTAGTGAAGCTGGGTGAGAATGTGCTGGTGGAGCCGAAGCTCCACTTTGCTGTAGGAAGGAGGCCTGTAGAGTATGGCCCTTCGGCTATGGCTGCCAAAGTGCGTCTCAATCGATTCTTCGATCTGAAAAAGAAAGAAGGCATAAAAACTCAAGAGGGAAAAGTAGCACTTTTCTTTTGAAGGACATCATCAATACAAGTCAAGGGCCATTCAGAATGTTGTCCTTTAAATTTTTCTGTAGACATGAAAGACAGATTCTGTGAAATGCTGACAAGGACAAAGACACCTCATATGCAAGAACTGAAGGTGAACTAAGTTTTTCTCATTATTACAGAAAGATGAAAATTTTAGGCCATTAAAATGTAGAGCTCCTAGAGGAATACTGCGGCATAGAAAACAGAGGTCAACTCTAACTGAAAATATAAACTAATAGCAATGCCTTTCATCTGCAGTGTGCTTTTATAAAGTAGTGCCAGCTGCATTATCTTATAACAGTTCTTTTAGGTAAACATGGTAGAGCAAACTGACTCAGAGGATGGATTTTATGCTGGAAGGACATGTTCGGGAAGGAGTAAGGAGAGCTGAGAAGCAATCTCCGAGCACTCTGGAGACATGCAATGCTGCTGCTTCTCTCAATTAGGACACAGCAAAATGTGAATGCATCTCGGTGAGACAGGAGAAGATCTCTGTGTGAGAAGGCGAAAGCTACCGAAGTATCATAATTGTGAGTTCTCCCCTCGATAGTTTATTGCTTCCCAAGTAAATATTCCTCTTTCTCACCATGTTTGAAATTTCATTAACAAAAGGGAATTTTCTAATTGACAAGTAGAAAGAATGATGACATTCATTATAAGGTTTAATGGCAGATACTGGGTGTTTTCCTGAAAACATGAGATTAAATCTTGATAAAGTAGACACTTTTTATTACTGGGAGGCATGATAAGATAGATCGGAGGTTAGGAAAACAAATAGAAGAGGTCGGAGAAGAGAGGACAAAGGAGTTGGAGGAAGAAGATGAGGAGAAAGAAATGAACAACAAAACTGGGAATCCAAATTACTTCAGTGGCAGCCTGAATTAAACTGTCCATTTTATGGATCGAAAACACAATATGCACCATTTCTTTTCACTACTTAAGTTTCTTCATTATTTCCCATTACTGATAGAATCAATTCCACATCATTATCAAGGAATATATAAAAGGCCATTCAAACTTCAACCCTATTTTCTGAGTCTCTGGTCATAGCTCACTCTTAATTATCTCCATCCCTGACCCTGCCCCACTCCTTCACATGCATACCACTGTGCCTTCCACCTGCAATCCCTTCTCCTCTCTCCATTCATTCATCTAGCAAACTCCAAATCAAACATCATCTCTCTTGAAAAATTTTAATTTAAATACATCCATTCATTAGCACTTATGAAATCGCATCTCTCCCTGATGTGAGCTCCATAACAGGCAGGCTGCATTGTTTGTGTCTCCAGTACACATCATAAATAATAAATGAAGATATCTAGTAAATTAATGAGCTGTAGCGCTCTGCCTAGATCTTTGAAGATAATTATGGAAAGAATAATGAAACAGATTTAGATTGTAAACTCTCTGAGGATACGAACTATATCCTATTTTTCATTGCATACAAATAATTGCTATCTGGAAATTAATAAACAAGGCACAGTGTAGTGCAGCGGCACACAAACTCTGGATCCAGGCTGCTGGGTTTGAATCCCTGGCTCCACCAGCACCATGGATTTGACTTTGGAAAATACCTATCTCCTAAGGGTGCTGTGAGAATGAAAGGGTTAATATTTGTAAAGTGCTTAGAACTGTGCCTGGCAAGTATGAAGTACTTGTCTGTGTTTTTAAAATAATAATATATTGTAAAGAGCAAAGAGCCAGGAAAACTGTTTCTGATTCTGAGCTCTGTCTGGCGCATATTAACCTAGGTGTCTAATGCATGTGTGATGGATATAATGAAAAGGACAAGAACACTAGCTAATCACACTTTCTGTACATGGCACTTTGGCAAAACATGATTAGATATTTTCCCTTGTTAAAGGATATTGCATTTTACTGGTAAGAAAACTATTTAAACTCAAGAATTTAAGTGCAAATTGGGACATGATTCCCCAGCAAATGTGGTAATAGTTTGTAATGATAAATTTAAAGGAGTATTTTATCCTGAATACAGGTTGACACAGTAGTTAGTGGAGACCAGCAGTCCATAGGAGGCCAAAATAAACAAACATGCGTCTAGGTGAAAGGGGAAGACAGATGCTTCCAAATATATCGGTGTCACTCAAGCAAAATGCACAGTGCCTGGAATTCCCTTCTCATATTATTTTCTTACGTAATCACAGGATGCGCCTCTTCATTACAGCTGGCTCAAGTACAGCAGTGATTTCACATTAGGAAAATTATTTTCAAATTTTATGTTATTATTATTTAAGAAGATACCGTCTCCCTTTTCCCCTCAACCAGAATCAGTTTAAGCAAGAGAAATGTAGCTCTTATCAGTATATCTGATATGGAGCATGTTCTAAATAAAGTATAATTACTGGCCATATTTTGTAATAACCCTGATAATAAAGACTGACGTTTTCACTCATGTCTCAGACTACTCATGTCTACGTTTTAACTCATGTCTCAGGGACTAAATAGGAAATGAGTTTGTCAGTCAAATTATGTTGCATTATCTTGACATACAAACTGTCCTGTCCTTGTAATATTTATAACACTCTGTATCAGCAGAATGGCCCAATACCAAGGAGTGAGAACAGTTTTAGCTGGTCCGACAACAGGTGCACACAGTGCGTATGTGAAATAAAAACTTTTCGAACGGTTATGTCAACCGCACCAGCAAATGCGGGATTATCAAATGCCAAGAGAAGCACTTTTGGACATGCTCCTGCTTACTCCGACAGTTTTGAAAATATATTTTTAGTGGAAGGATACATTTAACCTGGCCACCACTACAACTAAACTTGACACTTGCAAGCTTGCTGATAAAAATTTAGAAAAGAATGAGCATTGCTGGATGTAAACACTAAACTCTCACTTTCCTCCCTCTCTTCCTCTTGAGAGATCTGTAGAACACTCCCTCAGAAATCGCTTTGTTAGACTACACGAAAGTTGCTTTATTTATTGAATACTTATTATTTTTATTGGAAGAACTTCAACGTCTCTAAAACCTTTATTCCACCTTCGATAAAGCAAAGGATAGAGTGTTGTAATTAACTACCTGGAGTGTTCTATGAAGCAATGTAGGACTGGAAATCAAAAATCTAGATCCGAATGCTGGTTCTGCCACTTGCTTGCTTCGTCCATTGGGGCGAATTACTGAATCTCTCCTCATCAGAGTTTTTTCATATGTGTAGTAACAAATCCTACCTCATGAGGTTGTATTGGGAATTACATACATTTTCTATGTGAAATTGTGCAATGTAGTATCCTACCAATAAATGATGTTAAAAATATATGAATAAAATTGAATAATAATCAATATTATCTTGTAGTCTGTTTTTATCTTAAGAATTCTATAAGCCATTATATTAACATAATTTGGTCTGTCATAAAAAATTTCTACAATAAACTATATGCTTCCACATACCCTTATATATGTTTTTCTTTGTAGTACTCATTTCCTTTTAATGCAAAAATGTAATTTATTTATTATGTTTATTGTCTGTCTCCACACACCATAAAAGAAGATAAATGAAAGCACATATATTTTGCATTTTGTTCACTTTTGTTTCCTCAGCCCAAGAATAGTATTTGGCACATAATGGGCACATGATAAATATCCTTTGAATGAATGAATGAATATGTCTTTTCCCTCAATATATAAAAGTCTTTGTTATTATAAATACTACTGTGGAATATTGGGAATAGAAAGGTGAAAATCTGTACTAAGAAATTTATTTCAGTAGAATTGTCAATAGTAAGAATGACAAAAATAGCGTTAAATATTTGAGCAAACTAATAAATTTTGGTAAAAATTTTTGAATAAAAAGCTGTTACAAAAGTCCTATATTTCTCGAGTTACTTACACTATCAAAAAGTCTTCACCAAGACTCACTTGAAAATCAAGAAATACAGCTCTTTAAAATATAGTGTTTTTTTTACACAACAGTTTTTGTTTTCTAGATTTATTAAAGTAGCCATGTATTTATGACATATTTTGATGCTCAAATACATATATATAGTAGACCTCATATGTGTGTCACATACAACTAAAAGTCACATTGCATTGCTGGTCTGGATTTTTGGCATTCTAGAAATACTGTAGAGACTATTATGTTTTAATTTTTCCATTATAAAAATAAAATAGAGATTTTTTTCCCCATTGGTGAAATGTACACTTATTTTAGAGAATTCAAGAAATAAAATGGATGTAATTTACTAGGATGTATATATTACACATTTATTACTTGAAAGTTATTTATAACTGCAGGATAGTTTGGGGACCACAGGTTCCCCTGGTATGAAGCAGAGCTTCTTGAGAACGTTCCTTACCTAAATGAACCTTTAGTGAACCTCTGCCTTCATCTCACAGCTGACTCAACTGAATCTCAAGCCCATCATGGAATGATCACACATTTCTCAGAACTACTTCATAACTATACTTTGGGGCTATCTCAACACTCATCATCTAATAAAAGGCAAATTTGCTCATCTGTGGCTCTATGTAAATTATAAAAATATGGTAGAGAAACAAATGCAATAAAGTTTCAATATAAATATATATAGATATAGATTAGATATAGATATAGATATAGATATAGGTATCCTCAATATAGTTTTGATGAAATGGCACTCACTTAAATAGCCATTGCCAAAACTCATTATCAACTATTCGTCAATCTGATTTTCCCTTTGGCACGCATTACAATTTGTAATTATATGTAATGTGTTTAATGTCTGTCTCTCTTACAAGTCTGAATATTCCAGGAGGGCCTAGGCTTGTTTGTTTTGGTTATTGTTGTACATATAGCTTACCATCAATTTCCAAATAAGAAGGAATGAATGAACAAATGAATGAATGAATGAACAAGTGAATTAATACATGAATGCAAAATACAAGTTCATTATTTATAAACACATGCATACCCTTTAATTATTTTA